CACATCAGCATCAAAATACCTTTCTAATGATATATAACTGTTTATACATGATTGCCTATTTATATAATGATTTATTTATAAAAATATGAACATACATTCAAACATACTGGTCTTTCCTCCTGGTTAAAGGTTATTTCATAAAACGGTTTTAAGTATAGTTCTATCGAAGATGTTTGAAATAGGCGTAAAACTACAGCTGCTTGCTTGTAACGATAATTTTCGAAAAGTTAAAAACTTAGACGGTTTTACTTGTTTATAAGTAAGTCTGTTCTTTGATCGCCCCGAGTGTCCGAAAGTGCCTAATTTGTGTTTCTTTCGTTAGTTCTCGGGCTGTTGAGAACCACTTTGAGAGAGTAATTTTTGCTTCTCAATTTTACACAAATAACTTTCATCTTCTGTGGGGCTCCATCTTTCTCTGCTAATTCCAGCGGGTGCCGACTTGTGTACTTCAAGCCAACGGCCAAGTTAACGGAGCCGATGTATTTTAATTCTCTGCACTATGTCCATGGCGTTGAAAAGCTCATGCAGCTCACCGTTAAATCTTCTGCGGTACACGGCGTTGCCAATGCGTAAAGACCCGTAAATATTTCGGAAAATATTTCTCTCGAATACTCCAAGAGCCGCCTGATCGGATGCTGTCGTTGTTCATGCCTCCCAGCCGTACACCAGCAAGTGCATGATGAGTGACGTATAGCGTATGGTTTTCGTACGATAAGAAAGGGCTTTACTCCTGAATTGCCTACTCAGTCCAAAGTAACAGTTGCGTGCAAGAATGATTCGTTGATGCGTTTCGATGCTGACATTATTACCAGCGTTAATGCTGGCTCCCAAGTAAATGAAATTTTTAAAAATTATGATTGTTAGATATTGTTTAGATGAAAAACTACACTGCACTAGTCACGTTAAATTTTTATATGGACGCCTTTAATCTTATGGCCACATCCACACGTCACGATACCATTGCATATACATATATAAAATTTTACGTTACAAGATAACCGAGAGATGGAGAAAAATACATCGGCATGGCTTGAAAACTGCAACTGTTATCGAAATATTTATTTAACAGTCTAAGCCAAGGCACATTAAACAGGTAGTATCAGTAGAGCAAAAACAACATTTGCGTGTATTTTGTTGTTGCTTCTGGTATCGAAAGTGTCAAAAACTGTTCTGAATTTTTTCTTCTAAATCAAAGCGTGCCATGTGAAATACAAAAAATTATAAAAAATAAAAAATTGAAATTGGAAAAAATAAAAATTGATGAAACTTTCTTTCATTGTAAATTTGTTTGCTTCTCGAAGCATTGATCCATCCTTTAAAAGGGCCAGTAATCAGCGGTTGTGCTGCTGAGTTGGGCGAACGTTCCCAAAGCTGCTATTCAATCGTATGGAAAAAGGTTTCACATGCAAATGGATTTTAACAATTCAGAATTTTTGTGAGAAAAAATTAAAAATATTTGACATTTTCGAGACCAAATAATTTGAAAATAAATCAAATCAGCTGCTCTACTGATACTACCTGTTCAATGTACCTTGGTCTAAGCTACCTCTTGACACTTATTTCATCGGCATGTAGGATAGTTTGGTTATTGAAACCTGAAATGTAGGTTTCTATGAAAATATTAGGAGAGTCCAAGAGTCAACTGCTCTCACAACACTATACCAAGCCACATCGGCTCAGTTGGGATCTTTCGGAGCACTGGCGTATTATTTGTGGTTTCTAGGATTGCAGATAAATTCTATCAAGTTAAATCCTAACTTTCAGTCTTCTATTTTTCGAATCCACTTCAAGTTTATGTATTTTAGCTTGTTAGCTATCGTGCCGTTCATACATCTATGTCAGTTGACCTAGCTAGGTGTTTCGAAAAAACGACTCTCTCAATATTTGCATACCCTTTTGCTAACTTAAAGATCCAAAAATTAAATTATTCTACTTCGGAATCAATGGCGAGAAATATTCTTCTGTTATCTCTACGTGGTTGGTTGGTTCCACTTTAAGCCAGTGTTTGGGATATTTCCGGGTGATTGATTTCCTATGCGGATGACATTGCACCTTTAGTTTGAGGTAGGTTTTTTGATCCCTCTGCGATTTAACTAAAGTGTGCTTGAACCTGGTGAATAAACGGTCGGCGTACTGCGGACTTGCTATAAATCCACATACCAGGAGGTACCACTTGCCTCACGCTACTCCACCCTCAATCAAAGGCATTCGTTTTGCGCTTACTGACAGGGTCCACTACTTTTGCTTTATTTTAGATGGGAAGAGGCTTGAGTGTCTGTATACAGTTACAGGGAACACTAGGTAAGGGGTGGGACCTCTCTTCTAAATTTATCCCCTGGCTCTATGAAATCTCGCTTATGTTACGCTCTAAGCTAACAGCGAAATGTCTAAATTCTATTCCAGTCGCTTTGGCTGATAAACTGGCTAGAAGTGGCACCATCGCGATACGTTAGTGTCAGAACTGGCCTAAAGTTCAGTTACTTAGGGCAAAACAGTAAATAATAAGTTGCCTTTCCTTTTTCAAATGCAACTAAATATATTTACCCTTACGTAATTGTGTCACTACAATCTAGAAAACAGTTATGCAATCTTCAATTGAACTAG